CTAATATCATTTTCTTATTAAGCATACTAAATAATAGCAAGATACCAAATTTCACTTAAATCGGTTGAATAGTTTTCAATATATCCATAAAAATAATATAAAAAAATATTAATGAATCTCCCTGTAGAACGAAAACTAGCAACATTTTTCCTAAGCAATTTGAGCTCAAACGCTTTATTTTGATGTCAGCTATCACCGATTAGCTAATGTCCAATTAATTATGGGACACCCTGTATAGCACACCCACTGTAAACGGGACATATGAGTCACTCACTCTATTCTCACTCAACAGAAATATTTCTTTTCGTCATTGTTTATTACATTTTTGAATAAACTAAAACAAAAACTGATCTTACTTGATTTTTTACGCGAAAATCGAAATAATCCAGAAAAATAATTTATCATGAATACCAGGAATTGAAAGTAATTTCATACATTTTGTGTAAGTATCTAGTGACCTAATGATGTTGTCAATACTGTATATTATAGTAAAGTGTTATACCCTGTCATAGTGAGCATGTAAGATATATTTGACAGACAAGCAACAAGAAACAATAATGCAACACTTAGGTAATAAAATAACGTTCCAATATCTGGTTTCATTATAAATACAAACAAATTCATAGTTTTTTCAAATTGTAACGAATATTGTGCTTATTGAAAATGGCAAAAGGCCGAAACGTTTATTATTTATAACCTAGCAATTAAAAAAGTTTATATATATATATATATATATATATATATATATATATATATATATATATATATATATATATATATATAATGAATAATAGTTACGAGAGACATCAGTTCAATTTTTAATCCTGGCTTATTACTACTAATAATGGGGTATCTCCAACAAATCGCCATTTAAACAGCAAACATTTACCTATAATACGATTTAAACCATTAAGTTGCGTAAGGAAATTCCTATCTGTTCTACGTATAAGACAGATATTACATATCTTGTAATGTATCCAAAAGCCTTTTCTTCTGATTAAAATAAACTTTATATGTGTGTATGATGAATTGAACGAAGTGTACAATGTAGAATGAGGCAGGTCAGATGCACTAGAACAACAATTGATGAATATATGAAGCTGTCGTAGAACAGCAAGTAAGACATGTCGAAAGGAAAAAAGAGCTTTTGAGAAGAAAAAGGTTGTTGAGTTGCAAGAACTGAAGGAAGCAAAGAAAAAAGGAGCTATACTTGAAAAGTAGGAAGATTATTTCAGTGAGCTACTGAACGACACACAAGAAGAGGAGATATTAAAAGTTGATTTTCCAGAAATAAGGGAGTATCAATGTGGTTTTTGAACTAACCACTGATCAAATATTCAGACTAAGACAAGTACCAGAAAAGTGTTACGAGGATAATGTAGATCTGTACAATTCTGTAGATCCTAACAAATAAATTAATACAGATGGCCGCCTATACCGATGACATCATCATTAAGTCTCGCTGAATAGAAGAGACGACAGAAATATATTCACAATTCAAAACAGAGGCAAAAGAGACCGGACCAGAAATAAATATTCAAAAGATAAAAACGATAACACAGGCAAGAGCTAGGGGAAAAAACGCACATTTGAATTAGAGGACGATATTGAAACAGTAGAAAGTTTCATATATTTGGGAGTTGCATTAAACACGGATAGAACAGAAGAACTAGAAATTCAAAGAAGAATCTTCTTCTTCTTCTTCTTGTAGCTTATCCGTTTCGGATATTGGCGACGGATATCAGCGAGGAGTAGGGTTAAAATGGGAGAAGAACTCTCAGCTTATCTAGAAATAACAATCAACGTGGCTCTTGAAGGAAGTATAAGAGGATTACAGGATAACCCATTTGGAACTTTGTTTAACAGAATGATCCAAAAATATTTTATGCAGATGATAATAGAAATTTGCAAACCATTATCAATACTTGACAGTTTCCAGAGGTCACTATAAATGAATACAGGTGCGACAGAGAGACAATTTTGAAATACCTGAGTACAGTAGTACGAAAAAAAAAATTGTGAAGCAGGAGATTTAAGCTAGAATGAAAACGGTTTACAGAAGTTATTTCAGTCTACTGCAGTTTAAGTCCAAAGTTGCCATTACAAAGATCTTGTACTTCAGCGTGATCTAATCAGTAGTGATGTAGAGAGACAAGGACATGGTCCAGCAAGGATGAAGAAACGCTCATGTGGGAGAGAAAAATGTAAGGATCAGTTAGACACGGTGAAGTCTGGACGTTAAGGAGAAACCAGGAATTACAACTGCTCTTTGCAAAACCAAACTTGGTGATTGAAATCAAGAAAGGACCCATGAGGGTCGACTCAGAGGGAAAGATGCATGCAGGATGATCTAAGGAGATTGGAAATCCGACGGTAGCAGCAGTGATCAGCAGCATCAACACAAATCTTTATTTACAAAGTTATAATACCTTAGAATAGATGATAATCTGTAGGAAAACAAGTTTCTTGGTTAAAAAACATTCATGAATGGACTCTGATATCAAATGGAGGGCAATTATTCCATATTGCAGATGATCGAGAAGCCTTCGCAATGGTGATCGAAAAAGGTCGGATAATTCTGATATGGCACGTCGTGTCTTTCGGAATAGACTTCTGAATTTATTGTTTCACCCCTAGCCATAAACTACACGTTAATTACACAGTTGCCATCAGTTTTCTTGTAATCTAGTTTGTGCTAGTTTGCATGATGTCACTCCATGGATTGTCGCTTTGTTTCAGGAGTTTTGTAAAAAATTCAAGGTTCGTCTCCCATTACATATCGAATCAAGACTTCAGTCAGAACCTTTGGTACCCACCGAGCCCTTTTTTTATAGTCAAGGTGCTGTCACTGTTTCATATACGAGGAATCGAGTGTTTGTGAAACAGAGTCATGCAATGTGGTTAAAGTGAATCGAAAGGTTTTCTGAATCTTGGTATCAACTCTTCCCTGCAACTTCTCCATCACAAGAGATGGCCTCTTACTCCGTTCTTCATCGTGCACACTGAATCTTCCTTTGAACATAATGCCCAATTTCTTCTTCTGAAGATTTTTTCATTACATTCTCACCATAAACAGTTTTCATTTGCCTATAATTGTCGACTGGGAGAACATTTTGCTCATTCAAAAACCGAATCACATAGCGTACTTCATATTTGGCGGGATTTTCAGTGGGCGCCGCTATTTCAAACTGTTATAGAACAAAGACGCGTGATAACACAGTAACGAGAATTAGCTCACACTGATGCGACACACAGGAGAGGGAGTTATGGAGAAAAGGAGTAAGCTGTCTCTAGCGAAAAAGCGTGCATGAATGAGAATGCACATGAACGCCGTGCAAAGTTTGTGACCCAACTAAGTTGGCCCGGCAGAAATTTATGGTTGAAGAGGGTATTTATTTATGAAGTAGGTCTCTTACATTGACATAACCGAGGTTAGAAGGCGGTCCTGCCCACCTTCTGGGACAGAAATATCTATCGAATATTTTTACACCAATAAAGTAAGAGAAAAATGTGAAAATGTGAATAAAGACTCATGGAATCTAACAATTAGCAAGCTCAGTAAACATGATATAATTCCATTGATTGTTTACAGGCTAAATATATCAAATATAGATAGGAATTTCCAATACATAAATATCTAACAAATAATTAACTCGAATATCTTAAATACTACTAAATAGAATTGTTTTAGACGCTAAGACAATGAGATCATGATACAGTCATAGCTACATCATGTAAAGGAAATTTTATTAGGTTAGGAAAAGGGATAAAATAAACAGAACAAAATAAAGAAGACAAAAATATGCTGCGTATTTAAAATTGCAATTTGTTTTAATTATTTAATAAATATATACCTGTTTTCCATCTGTTGAATTAAACGAAATAATAACAGAAAAATATACATAACGGTTAGTAAGTTAGTTAGGTTAGTAAACAAACTCAAACTTAAAATAAATATAATATAAATAAACTTAAAACTAGGAGATGCCGATTAATTTTAAAAATATTTTGTAAAAATGTATATACATTTTAATGCCAAAACCTAGATTTTTTTTCAGATTTTTTGGATATTAAAAAAAAAATAGGTTATGTAGGTAATTTTTGGCAAACTTTAAATAATTATTATTCGTGTATCTTTTTTCGTTCTTTTGACGATGACGATGTTTGAATCCACATTATTTTTCCGCAATTGCAGACCTTAATTTAAATTAATTAACTACATTCAATTACCTTACTGAGAAATAGGAAGACCTAAGATGAGCTATCTTATGAAAGCCTTATTTAGCCATATGTAGTTAAGGTTATGTGTTAAAAACATGGGGGAAATATCACAAAAAGATGGATTGTCGTATTTTAAGCACATTCTGGTCTGAGAATGACACACCTAATCCCGTTATCAGAGATAATGAAAAAGATATTAAAAATCGTTATTTATTGAGTTTATGTGGTGAAAACATGACTAAAATAGAAAGAAAATAGAAAATGGTAATTCTAATCGCTCCCATTCAAAACGACGGAAAAAAATACATGAAAAATAATTATTCAGAAGTTTGCCAAAAATTACCTACATAAACCATTTTTTTTTGAAAAATTCAAATATTTTTTCTGAGCTTAATTTTAATCCAAAAAATCTGAAAAAAATCAGAGGGTTTATGGGCATTAAAATGTATGTTCATGAACTTTTTCAGATTTTTTAAATCAAAAGATAGCCCACAAAAACTTTTTTTTTTTCGAAAAAACACATTTTTTGCCATAGACGATCCCTGGGGCCACCTAGGGAGCTAAAAATGTGGCTAAAGGAGATTTTAAATAGATGTAAGAATCTTATCACGTTATAGCCATCATATATCGTGCGAGCTAAGGTTGTGATAAATTGATTTGATAATGATGTTAAGCTATTCGAATACATTTTCAAATATTGTCATTAAAGTAAATTGCTGAAATCGGCAACTCCTTAAAAACAAATAAAAATAAAGCAAATAAAAATAAAATAAAAATACCTTGAGGGTAGCTCCAAGGATCAAAAGGATCTGACAGTTGTTGATGTTGGTAATTTGGTTGTTTGATGGGAATTGTTTTCGGGGCGGGCTTCCTATAAATATAGCCACTGCCATAACTATTGTGATGGTTACTACTGTGATTAAATAAATTAGTGTGATTATTTGTACCATTTAATCCGTCCTGCACTGTTTCTATGTGAAGATCCTGGAGAGTTTTGGGAACAAATTCAACCTTTGGACGATTGGCAGCTTCATCTTTCCTGTAACAAAAGGTAAATTAGTACAGATTCTGGAAACCATTTATAAAAATATCCTTTCCATGCAATATATTCTGCAAAGAAAGAAGATATTTTCATAAATGGTGTTCAATACTTAAGCCATGTTAGTAATGCTTTATTTTCTCGCTCACTACTTGAATGTAAATCCAACAGAAGCAAAAGTAAAAATACTTGATAATTCTTAAAAAAAAAAATAAAACCAATGAAAAGGTCTACTACTACTACATCGTGTTTAAGGATGGAAGCTTAGGAACATTAGGGAGTGGGGAGTATGTGCTTCAAGAATTAATTATTAATACCAGACTCATTATAAAAATAAACAGAAATGTTCCGAGGTACTTTGTTCATTTCACTAGAAAGAGGGAGGGCATGGAAAGACTGATCCTCAAAGTCAGAAGATGCAGATCTCTTCACGGTGGTCTGACAAAATTAAAAAAATTCTCTCTCTCCCTTCCGGAAGCATCTCACCTCACAAAGCTCAAAATAGAGTTCAATAGTCAGTCATAGCCAATCAAATATCATGATATCACAATATCATTGCGTAGAGTAATGAACTGAGGAGGAGGTGGAATAATAAAAAACCAGATAGAACATTATTTGCACAACACACGAAAAATATGTAGAGAACGTACAACTGCGGTCATTGAATAGTTTATACCTTCATTTTTACATTGTAATACTGTAAAATCGCAGTGTCTTACGGATTTGCAATGCCAAAGTCTGTTTTCTCTTTTAAACAATTCTGCTTGTTCGTTGCGATATCTCTATGAAGTTGCCTCATCTTTGGCAGTCGTCCTCTCCAATCTGCTTATGTGGTTATCCCATGTTTGTTTATTTCTTTGTATTCCATTTTATTTCTGTCCCTCTGGAATGGATCTTATGTAAATATAGGGATCCTTGTAAGATTATTACTATACATGGAAAAGTCCTATACAGTTCTGGAACGCATGCCAGGAAGGGACTGAGAACTTCCAGAGAAGACTTCCATGCTAATGTCAATTTTTGAAGTTCCGAGTTGGAAGTAGGAACACAGATCTTTTACCTAAGCGAGATCCGTCCAGATATATGGAAGCGAGACATGGACCTTGGTGAGTGAAATTGCGAATGAAGAAAGGACGGATAAGGTGAGATCTTCACGTACAAGAGTGGGGAAGAAAACAACCGCCAATACAGTATTTCTGGGTGGTCCGAAAGAACGAGTAGAGGAGACTAGACTCAGATGTATAGAGGGCGTGCAGGATGACCTAAGAATACTGAGAATCGGCTGGTGGTGGTAGCGAGCCAACAACAGGGAAGAATGGGAGATGTCGTGAGACAGGTCGAGTAAACAAACAAGTAAACAAACTTAAGAGGATAAAAAAGACTTAAAAATTTATGATTGCCACGATGTATTTTAGCATGTATTTTTTAAATAAAGAAAACGAAAGACTTTTTAAATTAGGTATGATTTAAATTAAAACTGCACATTTGAGTACATATTCCATACATAAAATCAGTATATGTATTTACTTTTTAAAATAACTTTTGAAATTTCCAAATACAGTTTTGTTTTTTTTGCTGGCATTTTAATGATCAAACAGTAATAAATCTAATGACATTCACAAGCGCTTCATAATTATACATACGTTATTCTTGTTAATTTATTTTTCCATATAGAAATTGGAAAGCTCAAAAGTTAGATAAGGCTACCCACACAAATTGACGAATTTATCTTCTCTAATACTTAACCTCATCATAATTTCCAGACGCAAAAAGCTCCAACCTTAATTACTTTTCTACGGTCTGTTTGAAAATACTCAGGAATAGCTGGAAAAATACTCGTTTCAAATATAAGTCAATTATATCTCTTAGTTCACAAGATCAAAATTGGTACACATAATCATCTTCGCGTATTGATAATTTCTGTAGACTATATTATTTGTCTGATATAACTTGGGCATGAAATTATGAATATAAACCTGAAAGACAACGAGAGCTGTCTACAAAATCACCTCCATCTGCTGCTTTTATGCAAGGATAAATTGTTTATTAGTTATCCAATGGTTATATAATATACAGGTGGTGAATCGTCAAACATCGTCAAACAGGCCATAGGAAACTTAATAAGAAATTCTAAATTGTTGAATTCCTGCTTCCCTAATTATTTTACACCAAAAGTCAAGAAAAACTGTTTGTAGAGGACTGAAATCTGTATCAAAAACAAATGTTAAAATTGTTCTACGAATTAAACGTATTCCAAAATTTTGCAAGAATATAATACATTTTTCAGGCAACCCCTTAAAGTCAGGCCACACGCAGTGCAAGAATGTGTATGACATTTAATCATATTCATATTTGACAATATTGGAATTGCCAAAATTCAAAAGGATTTTACAAAATTTTGAAAATACTGGGACCGTTATTTCTAATTGTACCTGTACAAACAATATTGCTGAGGTACCAAGAAATTTAGAAAATCAAAATGAACTAAATGCATTAAGACCAGTTAAAAAGTCGTAGAATAAGTTCTCGGACCATTGCAGACAAATTTTGTGACACAATTTAGGGAGGGCTAATACAGACAGACAATTTTTAAAAAAACATTTTGTTTAGTGATGAATGTACATTTACATTAAATAATGAACCAAATGTTTGAAATTATAGGATTTGATCGACAAGAAAGCCTGAGGATATTATTGAAAGCCATACCCAATGTCGAAAATAAATGTCTGGTTAGAGTTATTTAGACACAATTTTATTGTACCATTTTTCTATGAGCAAAATTTAAATTCAAAAAAGTTTTTAGACTTGTCACAAGAAGAAATTTTACCGAAACTTGCAGAACTAAAAAGGAAGAAGAAATTTGGTTTCAAATGGATGGATGCCCTGCGCATAATAACTAGGAGGTTAAGGAATTATTTAAAAACAGCTTTAATAATTGTGTGATTGGACCTGGCTGTAATATTAAGTGGCCCCCAAGATCGGCAGATCTAGTGTCGTTGAGAGTTGTAGGGAGGCAGGTCTGGATCTGAACATACGAAAAACCAAAATACTCGTAATAAGTACACAACAGCATATAAAACCGTCTATATATGTAAATAATACCAAACTTGAGCAAGTTGATAAAATCGTTTACCTTGGACAGCAATTAAATTGTAACAGAGAAAGTCACGGCGAAATTAGATCTAGGATAGAGCAGGCTAGAGTTGCTTTTAGAAGGTTGTCCAAGGTGTTTTGTAACAGAGACCTTAAATTGGCATTGAGGATCCTCCTACTTCGCTGGTACGTGTTCTCGGTCTTACTTTATGGAGTCGAGTCCTGGACTGTGAATAAAATCGATCTAAATCGCCTTGTATCTTTCGAAATGTGGTGCTATAGAAGAATTTTAAAAGTCTCCTGGATGGAGAAGATTCGAAACTTCACAATACTAGAACGTCTCAGCAAGACTACAGAGATCATAAAAAGCATGAAGAAGAGAAAGCTGGAGTAGTTCGGACATGTAATGAGAGGTCCCAAATATAGGTTGCTACAAAATATCATGCAAGGGAAAACAGCAGGCAAACGCAGTCCAGGACGAAGAAGAACATCATAATTAAAGAATTTGCGAGATTGGTATGGTGTTGATACAAGCATGCTATTTAGGGGGGCAGTGAATAAAATTAAGATAGCTATGATGGTAACCAAGGTTCTGAAGAAGAAAAAGAGTAAATATTTCAGTAGTGTCTCTGGTGTGTGAATAAGTGGAGTTAAATAGCCATGTAAAATCCCTCAAAACATAATTTTGATAAGGAACCCACTTATGAAAGGCAAATAAACGTGCTGGATATCCTGGCCCTCTCATATACAGCGGCTCTTACTGCAGGTCAATCCTAATCGGAAACATCCAAAAAAGAGATTTCTGCCGTTTCTGTGATCACGACACCATGGTAAACGACTAGCTTTATGTTCTCTAGTAATCCTAGGCACCCTTAGAGATCTTCTAGATCGCAAGTTGGCACGAACCTGCCTTCGCCGAATTGTAGGCATTGGAATACATCTACTGTACATTCGGCTAAATATCTATCCTCTCTTTCATTGGTAACCTGAAGGCACCCACTCCTAGGATTCCTATTCACATTTCAAGTTTCTTCACCCAAATGCACTATTCTGATAACAAAAGTTCTGGGAATGCCAAACCTCCCTGAAATCCGATGAGTTGACCAGCTGTGTTGTTGCAGATCGAACTATTCTGGGTCTAGCACAATCGGAAAATATATATGCTGTAGTTAAACAAAGAGATAAGGTTTTTTTGACGTTTTTCTTTCATAAGTTACTAAAATTCTAACACATGTTCACAATACTTTGACTTGTCACTCGGATCTTAATCCGATTGAGTTTGCTTCGGCATCGCTTAAACAATAAGTTTAACTTTTTTATCATCAGATGTTAAAAATTTGTTCAATAAGTTTTTCTTCAATTAAAAAAAAAAGAACTATTTGACTTGGTACGAACGGTAGATACAGCAATATATCAAGTTATTATCAGTCTTAAAAATGATGATTCAGTATTAATTGTTTCAGTTCTTATTTTATTTTATTTAATGAAGAGGTATTGTTTGTTTTAATTAAGAAATCAACATTCATCAAACGCTGTGTTAGACAAAGCGAAAAACTCACGAGAAAAAATATTCTAATGAGATTCTTTGCATAATCACCTTCGTGAGATACCCCAAAATATGGTTTAAGAGGTCGCCCAGGTCGACTTGTCTATGTACCTTCTAAATATAATTGAAATTGTTTATTTCTTATATTCATAAATATTTTTTCATCCTTTTAATACACAATTATTGATTGTTAAATGAAGTTTATTTTGTATCAAAAGATATAAATAAAATTCTGTTATAGAATTCTTCAAACAAAATATGTAAAGCCGATTTCTCGAGATTTTATTTTGAAAATATTTGTATTTTTGCTATCTCGTTCATTTCCAGCACGATCACGGTTCTTTGCTTGCGCGTCTCAAGGACGTAGTGCAATTTGCCAAGTTGTAATGATACCTAATTTGCAAAGTTTTAACATTTTGCAACAAACCACAGCATAGACAGTTATTCTAGATAAATTTGATAGCCATCGCGATTGTATTATGTTCTTGGTTTAATGCAAACATTATCAACGACTCTCTTCGAAGTCTGTATGGTTATCTCAGATAGTAAAAGTTTAATTACTGATCTTTTATGAGCTAATCACGTGAAAATAGCAAAAATAATTCGATTTGTTACGAGTATAGTTAAGGCTGTTTTATCGGTACACCAAAACCTAGAGACAGTGTTTTCTCTGTTATTTACCGACAAAATATCTCGAAATTTGGACACGTTATTCAAAATTATGTTACCTTTAAACTGATTGTTTTACTTTTTTAATTTTTTTTGAAAGTTTTTTTGAAATATCGGATTATGCAATTCAACGTTCTATTATAACCAAACTTTTTACGCCCATCACTTGAAAGACTTTTTGTTCTGTAATCATTCATTTTTTTCACCTTTCTGTGTCCGGTAATAATCGAGAAAAGCGTATTCAAGCTTTGAAGAAAATTGCTAAAAAATACTGAATTCTAATAGTGAAACGGGCTACTCATCATTTTCACTTAGTTCCACCGTTATCGGCTTCGTGACGTCAAATCTCATGAACGTACGGTCAGTTAATTCGATTTGAAATCATTTTCAAGCTATTACTGCGAAATTGTTTATTTCTTTGTGACAACAAATTGTATTTTTTTTTGATAATAATATTTTTTTGTTATTTTAAATTTATTATAAATAAACACCATGACGTTTTTTGCAGTCACGTTTCACAAATTTTTATTCAATACTATATTTATCTAAAACATATAAATTAAAAATGTGATAATTCTTTTTTAAAACATCTACGATAAACATTCGAAAAAAGGTATTCCGACAAAACTAATTTGAATAGAGAATAATGCATTTGTTGTCATTAAACTACCCGTCGGCTGGCGCTACTGTACCCGCTGTACCCGTCGTCGCGTGGGCTGGCGTAAGCAGTGTATAAAAGTAAGTGATACGCCCATTTCAAATCGTAGTGTGCTTTGACTGCTAAAACAGCCTTAACCTCGAAAATTAAAAGCACGAAATGACATTTTTGTGCCTTAATACCACTCCTAAGTATTTCAAACACACCGTAGTAGTAATTAGACGAAATCTATTGTTGAAATGGTATGCTACTTACTTTTCCAATAAAGTTTCAGTAAGGTGCTTCAAAACTTCTGTACACTGGCTATGGTAATCTAATAATCCCTCGGCGAATGTTGCTAATTGTGAGATCTGCTCGACCTGAAAATTCTTTAATGATTAATTTGTATCTCAAATTAATAATCTGCTTGTATATGAAATGGGTACTGGCAATTCCTTGCAGTACTTTTGATTGCCTTCGTTCGTGTATCCACACACAAAAATAAAAATAAAATAAATACGGCAGCTTCGTGAAGATAAGTAAAAAAGAAAAAAAATAAAATTCATTGAAAATAAAAAACTTCGGGTAGTGGCTCCCCTGTGTGAGAGACCAGGTAGTCTCTGGTATTAAGCAAATTATTGTAAGTAGTTGAACGTATTAGTACCTTAATGTACCGTTGTGACTGACATATTTTTCATTGTTTCTGTCTTAGCGCCGGTTTACACCAACGACAAATAGCAGTCTATTCAATGAATAATGTTATTTGACCAATAAAACTGACATATCTGCGTTTCACCAACGTCAAATAAGACTTATTCTATGAATAAACTCCAAATAAGTTATTAGTCCAATATCGGCCAAATAAATATTTATTCTTCGAATAAGTTGACAGCTAACCTCATTTTAAATATCAAGAATATAGAAAATTCATTACTTTAACTTGAAATTATCAACAATGTATTGCAGGTAAACGTAATTATATATATATATATATATATATATATATATATATTATATAATATATAATATATATATATATATATATATATATATATATATATATATATATATATATATATATATATAAGGATCACTCAGAACGAGTGGTGGGTTCTTATATCGGTCTCTAGGTGGGTGGAGAAATAAAAGACAAAGTTGATAGGCTACTTTATCTATTTTGAAGACGTTTCGCTTTCGAGTTTTGAAAGCATCATCAGTTCATCTAAAAAATTATTACAATATGAGAACCACACAATCATGGAAACGATGTTAATTGTTACCTTAAAAAGATATGTAGCAGTCAATGTTATTAACAAATATGTGAATGAAACTAAGTAAATGGACATAGTACGCTGATCTTGTATAAACAGTTAAGCAACTAACAACATATATGAACTTGTTAAAAATTAGCACAGCAATTGACCATGTGGTCCAAAATAAATTCAATGTTATTTAATGTTAATAAGTGAGAAAGAACTAAGAAAATCATAAATAACTTCCAACTATTTAATGGATATTAAGCTTTGATTTTAACTTTAGGTAGCATTATAAGTAATATTAATAAAATTCTAAAAAATAGTGAATATGAAGTTACCGATCAAAGCCCTTTGGATGTCGCCGTGAAAATGGCGTTAGATGAAACAGGAACGAACTAAACCGCAAAAAGACAGCCAACCTTGAGGTCAAAATTGCTTTTGACAGATCAACAAGGTGTAAATACCAACCCAAATTTTGGGCGGTTAATTTAATTTTAACTGAGTTTGGATGACTACCAGGTTGTAAAGGACACAACAGTGAAAAAAGTTGGTAGTGTAAACACAACTCCCCTCACTAACCAGCCCAAATTTACAAACCGGAGATTTTCATTCAAACTCATAATAAAGTAATGACGTTAATCATTATGGCAAGTTAAACAGCCAGGTGGTTAACGATATTATAATTTCCAAACAGCCCAAGGTTCAATATACTTGGAGCTGTGATTTGTAAAGGATTCTATGAATCAATTACAATGTTTGTATTATTTTATATATAATTTGAAACACTAATAAAGAAATTATTGTATTGAAATGCAATATGGGTTGCATATGTAACAAGTTCATATATGTTGTTAGTTGCTTAACTGTTTATACAAGATCAGCGTACTATGTCCATTTACTTAGTTTCATTCACATATTTGTTAATAACATTGACTGCTACATATCTTTTTAAGGTAACAATTAACATCGTTTCCATGATTGTGTGGTTCTCATATTGTAATAATTTTTTAGATAAACTGATGATGCTTTCAAAACTCGAAAGCGAAACGTCTTCAAAATAGATAAAGTAGCCTATCAACTTTGTCTTTTATTTCTCCACCTAGAGACCGATATAAGAACCCACCACTCGTTCTGAGTGATCCTTATATATATATTGGATTGACGGTCGTACTCCTTTTTCCGATATATATATATATATATTATATATATATATATATATATATAATATATATATATATATATATATATATATATTGATTTTCGACTATTATCTTCATCATCATCATCATCTGATGACGGAAATGAACAGCGAAGGAGAAGACCACGCTGGCAGCTGCAAAGAAGAAACCCTTTTGCTGATTTGATGATGTGGACTTTCAAACTAGGTTTAGATTATCAAAAAATTCAGTAGATCATTTATTAAATTTGATCGGTAACCAATTGCATCCTGTAAGCAACAAAAATAGACCCATAGATGAAGCATAAGAAGTGACACAGCAGTGGAAACGAAGCTGCTCCTTCCCAAAGCTTCGCGGAAGCCGCCTTAAGGCATCTTAAAGTCGCTATTATGAATAAGGTAAACCTGTACGGAAAGGTCATTACCCACCGGAAAAACCTTATTAAACGCAGCCTGATCGAGGGATTGGACAGAGCAATCTTGCCCACCTCCAGTTGATTCTCCTCTGTCCATCCAGCTCGCAGGAGTTTTTATTTATATGATTGTAAATAAGACCAGTGTGATGAACTGAAACACCGTCTAATATCTGTCTCCAGGCAAAATACTTTAAACTCATTATAAAAAACTTATTGATGGAGTGAACTTATTGAATGGACAATATTTGGTACAAATGTCTCACCAACAAGTGCCAGAAGAGAAGCAATGACTGGCCTGGATAGAACAAGAAGGAAAAAAGGAGCAAGATATCATATATATGAAAATATGAGAAAAGAAAAGAAATAATGTTCTAGATCTGTCTCATTAAAGACAGCAAAGACAGAGAGATAGCTAAGAACAGCAGAAAATTGACACAGAGAGAGATAGATACAGACAAACATACAAACAGAAAAAATGTATGTATATAGAGAGGGCTATGAAGAGTATAATATGGTCGAAGATCACTGACAGATCAAGATCATGACTAAATTAGAACAGTGGAAAATATTGGCTATTTTAAAAACAGAACCTCTTTACAGCCTTTTGTATTCTTTGTTGTATTATTTTTTAGATATTTAGATATTTTTTTAGATTTTTTCCAATATACTTGTACAATTGTCTACCTAAATCGCGTAAAAAAATGAAACAAACTAAACAAAATTGTGTCCAGTAGATTGGAATTTTCAATATACAAGCAGATTAGGAACCTTTTTCCTTAATAAAAGTTAGTAAACAGGTCAGAATTGAACACAAAGTATTTACGGTTTATAATACATTACCATTAACTAATATGATCCTACAAAATTGTTTTCTTCTATATACTTACTTGCTTGTCCATATCAAGTCTCCTTGTTTGCTATATCCTAACCAATACTTAGCTGACCGATTTATTGTTTACGAAAAAGCGAAAAAATTTTCCAGTATCAAGAAATTAATATATTTTATGTTAAAACCTATCTGTTTAAATCATTAATTAGCATGTCATCAAAATCAGGAGACCAAGCCCGCGGAAGTCCTGCTGAAGACTACAGAGAGAGTATCGAAAGTTCGACCTGTCGAACGTAAGATAGTTTACGTTTATACCTCCTAGGCAAACGCTTTGTCAGTGTCTATATTTGAATACTGTAAATACCAGGAGTTTATCGCGGTTTTAAAGATATTGCTTATCATCAGACATGCGCAGGTAAGGCAAACTCAAACTTAGATACCGGCAAGCTGCATCTGCATATTGTTTCACTCCTTTGATGGCCAGCGAAAATAATTTAATTCTTTAAGAGAAGACATCTTCTTCTCTTGACAACATGCACTTTTTTATACGGGAACTATTTCAAGTAAGATTAAACAAAAATAATTAAGCCTATTATACCCGGACTTTAATAAATATGCGAAGCAAATCCAATAATTATTAATGAATTTAAATTTTAAGAAGTTATATCTTATAAATATAATATATATACGATTTGTTGTTTTAAAAATATTTTTTTAATACTAAATAACGAATTTATTCAAATTTAATAAGACTATAGGTAAGTACTTGACAAGACGAGGTATTTGTTTAAAAACGAGTCCTCTATCACTTATGACCTCTACACGGCAAATGTATGCCAACTTTGACCTTCAATATCTCGGCAGCGAGTAAGCCGAATGTATATATATATATATATATATATATATATATATATATATATATATTTTAAAAGCGTCCTTTTAATGTTCTTTAAGTGTATAAATTTTGAAATTAATATGTTTAAAGCTCGTAAAGTTATTCAATTTGTTTATAAGCCTAAAAAATGTTTAAAACTTAAAAAAATTTTCTAAATTTGAAAAGCATTTTGAAAGTTTGAGCCTTCCTTTATATGTAAAAAATTTGCAACTATCTGAGGGCCTTATTTAGAGACTACTATAATTTTGAAAATTTGCGATTTTTTTTCCAGTAGTCTGGATTGCAAAATTATTATGCAAAACCTATCCGACCGATGTTAACAAAATTTAGCACACGTTTTTAAACATATTAAAACGTTTTTCTTGGCGGAATATGGAGCTGAAGGAATATAACTTCATTTTTTTTGTACTTTTTTTCCAATTATTTCTATTTTTTCAACAATAAACATTAAATTTTCAATTTCTAGCTAACGAAATATTGTTGTAAAATTGAATAACGAAACTTTTAACTTTATATAATGTTTTCTCTAGGATCAATATTTTCCGAATTATAAACGAAAATAGGAGCAAAAAATGAGAAATTTCAATTGCTTTCAGATTTTGTCAAATAAAAAATTTAGCACAGGGTTTGCGACTGGCGCATATTGTGATTATCGATATTGGGTACATCCTGAAGGGATTCCAGCAAAAAATAGCTTCCTATGGAAAATGTCCATTATGGTCTGAATTTCTACAGATCCCGCCTAGTCTATTGGAACTGTTGGATTTTTTGAAAGCAAAGTACTCTTTGTTTACAACACTACTTTTAAAACAATAT